GGATGCTTTGCTTTAGGACTGTCGTAAGGGCCAATACAAGTAATCAGTATCATGCCCAGCATATGAGGGCTTCTGAAGACTGGCTTTTCTTTTTGTCCTTCATTATTCTCCGGAATCACTCATTTTACCTGCTATGTTTCCTCCTACTAGACTATCAGCACCATGAAAACAGGGAATTTTCACTGGTCAATGCTGGGTTCCAGGATCTAGAATAGGCCCCAGAGGAGCTCAGTAAATTGTCAAGTGAATGGACGAATATCTTATCAGGGTTTAAGATGTGAGCTTGTTCAATTTCAGGTCATGGAGTAAAAACAACTTTGCTGAGGAGTCCGTCTGGCCAAACAAACAGGACAGACCAAGGTCCTTCATCTCTTGCCTCGACCAAAACTCTATTTCTCCACATTATTATTTTTCCATATGTCTCACTTTTTTCGCAGATCCAACATTTTGCAGCTTCATAATCTCTAATTTGTAGTATGAAATTATGGTTTTTTTTGTTTCACAAAAATTAAATTATCTAATACTATTGAATTATGCTAAATATCGCTTTTTCAAACTGCATCTTACCCCTTCTGTCCTCCTTCCTTCCTGGAATATCCTCCCTACAAACCAGTAAAAAACCAGTAAAGAAAGATGCAGAAAGAATCTAAGAGTTGAAAGGCAGCCCCATGGCTCCTAAAATCCGGAATGCAAAGAATGAGTCTTTCTAGCCCTAAAATAACAATCATCTGGACAGCTGTAGTCTGCCTGCTAATGCTGCACAGTTAACACAGCAAGGCAGGGAGTCCTAGGCAAGGGCTCTGTTTTCTTTCCTCCCACACACTCCTTTGTGACAAGCCTCTGGAGGGGAAAGCTTTGCAGCACAGCTGCCCGGCTGCCTCTCCTCAGCACCCCACCCTGTTAAAGGTTAAGGATGCTCCCTCCACATGTGCCTTTCAGACAGTAGGACAGCTCAGCTAAAGGTCGTTCTTGGAAGGGCCTGCTTCCCTACCCTTCTTCTTTTTCCAAAGATTACATGTCAAAGAAGGTGCCTGGCTCTGACTTTCATACAGCTGTTGGTCTCC